GGAGAAGTTGGGAAAAGTGGAACGGGTAAGGTCGAAAGGTTGGAACGGATATTATAGAGAGAAAGAGAGAGAGAGGGGGAGAGAGAGAGGGATGATAATAGAGAAAGAGTGGGAGGAGGTGAAGTGGCGTTAATGGAAGAGCTTACCCTGGGACGATCGCGAACGACCTCGATCGCGCGTGTCTCGACGAGCGAGTTTACCAGTATTTTGCCCGTGACCAGAGAGGACCTTGACAATGGCTGTTCGCGAGACGCTCTCTGCGACGTAGAGAAAGGTTCATAATAGGGAAAGAGAAGGTTGAGAGAACGAAGTGGGTGAGCGAGCGAGAGAGAGAGAGAGAGAGAGAGAGAGAGAGAGAGAGAGAGAGAGAGAGAGAGAGAAAGAGAAGAAGAGAAAAAGAGACAGAGTGAGAGAATGAGTGAGAGAGAGAGAGAGAGAGAGAGAGAGGGAGAGAGAGAGAGAGAAGGAAGGAAAGAGAAAGACGAAATCGAGGAGTAAGGAGGGTGAGTGCATCGCGACGCAGGCGCTGAATGCGCGCGCAACTCGCTCGATGCACCCGGAGGTCGCCTATCCCGTGCACGCGCCCCCGACCTTGACCTTATACGCGCCGCACGCGCTCTATGTTGTATACCTACATGTGTACGCGCGCGTTTCTATTTATGTATGTATGTATGTGTATATATACATATATGTATGTACGTATCCATGTATATGTGATATGTATGAGCTCGAGGTCCATCCACTCGTCAACGGTTGAAGGTCACTGTGGTCGCCCCGGGAAGAGAACGGAGCCCTGGAGAAGGGTGGAAAAGAAGTAAAGGAAAAAAAAGGGAGAGAAAGAAAGAGAGAGAGAGAGAAAAAGAAAGAAAGAAAGACTTCCTCGACCCTCTCCGTATCTTACCCATTACGTAGTTTCCAAGTTAAAACATTATTATTTATTAGAACGAACATATTGAATTACTTTTGATTATTAACAATAACGTCGTTGTTAATTCGAAGATAAAATAATTCTTTACGTCTTTTATATATCTGTTACGTATTTTTAATCTGTTGCTCGTATTCTTCTTTTCCTTCTATCTTTCTTTCTTTCATTCTTACATTATTAATCGTGAAACGTGTATTGCATAACTTGATGCGAATTGATTGATCGTAAAATTTGTAAGAGGGTGAAATGAATTGAATTATTAGATCGAGATAACTTTTTTCCCATGGTCAAAATTGAAGATAAAGATAATGGTATTATAATGACATTCCCATATGTTTCAATCGTTTTTAGTGAAATTCCTAATTATCAATATACAATCCAATATGGATTGATTAGCGTTAAAACGCTAAGGGTGAAAAAGGGTAATGTACTAAAGTTTAACGTTTAACGGAAAGGACCACAAGTGTTCCAGAAATTTATCGAATGATTTCTCCTTCTATACCTCTTATACTCAGTAGTAGTTATACTTAAGTAGGTAGGAAAACATCGGTGAACTATATCTGGATATCCAACGAGCAACGTGAAAGCTTGTCTCGACCGATTCTCGCGTAGATTAGAGAGACGGTGGAAAGTCGAGGTCGCCCTTGACGTAAGCGCCAATCGCGTGTAGATACAGACACATCACACCACACCGCACCGCAACACACACACACACACACATACACAAACGAATACCCACTCACGTGTATTCTACATATACGTGACCCTCATAAAAGATCCTAGGAACCGGAAGACTTCGTTGAACGTAGTGAATCATTGATTATATACAACATCACGTACTTTCTTAATGAGAATTTGTCAAGATCTGATCGATTTGATCGATCGATCTTCCCGGAAATAAATATAATATAATGCCGGCAACCTTCGGATTTGAAAATAGAACATTTGTATTCACGAAACGATCGCGAATCATTGACGGAGGCGTCGATAAACAAAGGCAAAAAAGTTATTACTTTTGTGATCTTTGACTTATGTCTGTTTATCGCTTAACACCATTACGATCTACTATTTTTTTACCATTTTGTCCATTTATATTTTCTCTCTTGGAAAAATGACAAAACAATGTTTTAACCCCGTAAGATACTTATTTCAAGGAAATATCTTTAACATCTTAACATTGCAACAATTCAACGAACGTAATTTCTGAATAATTATTAGAAACGTTTATAAGATGAATTCAAATTCGTTACATAATGTATTAGATTATCACGATTAGGAACCTATTGGATCTATTCGATTATCGTTCGTAGAAAGCTTTTCCATTCGTATTCCTACTCCACCTCGATGTTAACAAGGCTAAATTATTTTTCAAAATCGACATATACTTATGCATGTGCCTATGTACGTAAGTATATATACATATCTATATACATATCTACAATAAAGTAAAGCTTCAGACAAACGAAAAGCCTTAAAGCATTTGCGTATCGTTGAAAATGCAACGATTATTAAACTGGATATTGTTCTTGCGTAAGCTCTCCTCACTTTCTGATATAGGTACCTCTATGCGTTGCGAGCTTATTCAAGCGCGTGACGCTATCCGACGACCTTATCGTCTCCTTTATTGCTTAATATTCCTGCAAGATTTACATAACCTCGTTCCACATTGTTTGTGTGTATATGTATGCACCTAT